CCACTAAACCATGTCCCTAAGCGCCTCATTCTCCTCGTCTTTAAATACCTCCAGGGATGGGGACTCCACCACTTCCCTGGGCAGCCTGTTCCAATGTTTAACCACTCTTTCAGTAAAGACATTTTTCCTCACGTCCAATCTAAACCTCCCCTGGCGCAACTTGAGGCCATTTCCTCTCGTCCTATCGCTAGTAACCCCTCTGTTACTTACCCCTCCGTCATTCCTTGTATGTGGGCAATCTTACCGCGTATGTGGCCCGAGCGCAGTGGAGCCAGCCTCCAGGAGATACTCTGATCTTCAGTTCCAATTTCAAGGCCTCTGTCTCAGTTGCTCATGAGGCTGGTCTGAAAGCAAGTCTACCAAATGCGATAACTCCCTGAAAACGTCGGTTTCTTACACCGAGCGGCTCAGAGCCGCTCTGTGCACCCCTTCCTTCAAAATAGGGCTGACAGAAGCGGCGTGCCTCAGGCTGGCCGGGCACGAGCCAGCGCGCGTCTGGGCGCCACGCAGCTGTACGGGTGTAAGAGCGGGCCCACACCAGTAAGCCCTGCTTAAGGTGCCCTGCTTAAGACTGGTACAGCCGCGCGGGCTCGCGGCCAGCAGGGTGACGGGGTTTCTGCAGGAGATCTGGCCCGCGTCCAGCCGGGACAGAGCGCAGGCAGAGCAGGCATGCCTCGGTCTGCCCTTCGCTGTGCAGATAAGCTCAGCTGCGCACGGTTATCCAGGATGTGAACTTCTGCTCTCTCCGGGAGTATTTCCATCTTGCACGTCGAGCAGAACAGAGGGCCTTGAAAGAAGGGCTTTCTTAATGCGCGCTTGAGGTGCCGGCGAGGGAGGCGGTTACAGGCAGCCTGAACGTACCAGTCACTATCTTCTTCATGTGGATGAGTCCTTGTAGGAAGTGGGGGGAAAATCCAGATGTCTTCTCCTCTAATGTGGCAAATTTGTACAGAATAAAGACCAGATGAAGGCTGGAGGAGAAGATTGGTAGATGCACTTCATGGAAATAGGTGTTTACAAGGGAATCCATCTGCTGAGAGGGAGGTATTTGCTCTTTCTCCTGAACCTTTGCTAAGGAAAGCACACGTTTTTGTCAGCGTTTCCATTTCTGTCTTGTTCCGAGTCTTACACCTTGTTCTTCGTGTGTGTGTTATGATAGAAGCATCTTAACAAACGTCAACTCCATTCTGGTCTGCAAGAAAAAAATTCAATGACCAAGCACTCCTTGGTTCTCAGTTTGTTCCCCAGCCCAAGAAACGCTTATGGAGTTTAGAAATGCTTTTTGTGCAGGTTGTATAACGCGGTCTGCTGCAGGACTTGCACATCAGTGGCTGGGCTAATTGATTAGTAGGTTCTCTGATCTGCACTTGTACATCAGGAAAATGAGACCTCTCTGCTGGTTGTGTTATTGTTACAAGTTCTAAATATTTCTTCAAATGTTACAAGGGGCAACTTTTTCATTGTTTTTTTCTTTTTTTTTTGGTAATTGAGTATCATTGCTTGGACTGGTCCCAATTTGTAGGCATATTCTTAAAAAGGAATTAAAAAAACTCAAATAAACCTCAAACCCTCCAAGCTGGTGGTCAGTGGTACTACCAAGCTCCTCATTTAGAGAGCAGAAAGTTTGTTTATCCTCTGTACCCCAAGCACAGGCATGCATAATTTATGTCTTGAGCATTGCCTCTAACAAATACTCCTGTCTGTGGGAGCTGGCAGGATACGTACTATGCACGGTGGGTTTCAGGAACGGCCCCTTTGGCAGGACAAGGCACGCATGGCCCGAGGCACTGCGAAAATCTCCCTGTGCTCAAGGGCTTTGCTTTTTCCAGATAAAGTCTGTTGTAAGATGGACTCTCTGAGTCCAGTTAGCCAGCTGCTAACTGTATCTTGAGTGAACCGTCTAAACAGCCAGCTGCTAACTGTATCTTGAGTGAACCAGCGAAGTGTAGGTCAGTGCTAATACAATTAAACATATGTGTACACCAAAGTCAAATGATCTCTAGTGCTGCAATAGCTGGATGTAGACTTCACAAAACCAGACAGAGCTCTGCCATTTGGTCAGTTGAGGATTTTCTTTCATTTTGAACTTTTTTTCAAAAGACTCATTTTACTTCAATTGCAGATGTACGCTATCTGGAAAAAAAACCCTCATGCTTCTAGCTTATATTTCTCTTTTATGCCTTGCAGCCTCTGAACTGGCTGGTTCATGTGAGTCTAATTCTTATCTGAGTGACTTTGGTGCAAATTAGGGGTTAAGTCAATTAACGTTCTCCTGTGACCTTCTGAATCCAAAACATACTGTATCTGTTACTGTCAGGGGTGGGTTTGAGCCGTTTTGGAAAAGCAGGGCTGCTTTTCATAAATATTTGTCTTGCTTTAGTTTCCTGAGATATAGTTTGAATGTAAACTGCTCCCTATGTTTCAGCTTTTGTGCTATCTTGCTGTATCACATCACACTGTCTCACGTACTATATAAGAGTATGGCACTACATCATGCTGTGGTGATTATTTGAAAGGGCGTACACTCTGTTTTGGACTAGATATCTGTTATCAGTGTAGATAATTGCTGTCAGACACAAAATAGACTCGGTAAACAAACATTTCATTTTATCATGTGACAGATGCCTGCTGTTTTGTACAATGTATTTGAACGACGTTCACTATAAATCAACACTGCTTCAAAAGCAACAAACCCAACTCACCCAAATCCTTCCTGATGTAATTACTTTATCCTAGAGATTAACTTTTCATTGTTATATATACATGATTGCATTTTTCAATGTTTGGAGATAACAATGTTTGACATAAACAAATAATTCACATCTAAGATGAACCAATTCCTCCTACCACTATCACTGCTTTGTTTTTTCTCCTTTGGGTTTTTTTGGGGCTTTTTTTCTCTTTTATCCTTGGTTTCCTCCCTGGTAAAGACAAGACTACCTCCAGTTTTGGAATTCGTGCTTTAAATTTAGACTTTAACAGAGAAATGAACCAACGAGTTAGCATATTCAGGAGAACTTAAAAGGGCAATGGAAATAAATGTCTTCATTTTGTGGATAATGAACATGAAGCCTCTGGTTGTGTTCCCGTGGGGTTTGTGACCAAAAGGATGATCGCTATTTGACAGGTGTAATCTGTGTATTGCTTTCTTCTCCAAATGATGTGCATCTGTGTCTTCCTCTGCAGGTCCTGTGCCTAGGAGTGAATGTGTCTTATCGCCTGTTAACAATTCGCACCCAGTCCATGCCTTATTGGAGAGTTTTACAGTCTTATCTGGCTGTGCAAGCCGAGGCACGACAGGCCTGCCGCAAGAGGTGCACGTCCTCAATCTCAGAAATCCTGAGGAGGGTCTTGGCCATCATGAAAGAGAGGTAAAGGGGAAATTACTTTTTGTCCAGATCCCTGGCTACAAGTGTGTCTGCAGATGGGATTTTTCTATGTTAATTTGCTGAATAAAGTTATTTCTGAATGGCGACCAGAAAGACTACAAAGAAGCATGCGCAATTTGTGTGGATACTGTCCACCTATGCTTTGCCTGTCATATGAGTAAACCGCTTCCATACCCAGCCACTCTCTCCATCACCTTTCACGACCATGAAGTATACTTAAAAAAGGTGACAGGGTGGGCAAAGGAAATAAGAAACAGATTTAGATCTACAAGAGGCCTTTACAGAATTGGCTGTCTTCAAAAGCAGATCATTTACCTAAATATGTTGTAAATTAACATGAATACCTTTGGATCCCTGCCATGACCACTATAAACAAATATTTAAGTTCAGATTCTTTTACCCCTGTAATACATCCTTAATGCTTCACTGAGGGGGGACTGCCGTACAGAAAGCAAGCGTTGCTGACTATGGTAGTACTTAAGTACAGTCCAATTACTTATTTATGTACATTGCACTCGGAGGGACTGGCAAGAACTTCAGTTGCTCTGAAAGCAACAGCGCAAGAAGAAAAGATTTGATGTTAAGTTGTGCAGTACTGTTGTTTACTCTCAAAACACATCAAAACAGAGTGCCGAAGTGAAAACACTGTATGCCATGACAGCTGAGCTTCTTAGTTCATCTTCTTACACACAAATCCTTAGTACTGTGTCCTGTGAGAGCAACGTGCGTGTACACAATTAGCAGAATTTGTAATGAGAGAACAAAGATGATGATCTAGCAGGCGGAAGCTTAGAAAAAGAGGGTCTAAATCTGTGCTGAAAGAACTTTTAAGTGGAGCCTTTTGTAGTGATTTAAATAAAGGCAGATACTCTTGGCCATAATCAAAGTCTTTCCACTGACTTCAATAGCAGCCTTGTTGGGTCTGTGGTTTGTTCGGCTCAATGTGTATTGTATGCATCCATGAAACTTCAGCTGTTGTGTTCATTTTCAGTATATACACTCTCTGAAAAGTCTACTGTATGATGAAAAAGTTATTTACTATTTTTTCAGTAGGCATCTCGTTGGCTGCCCTTAATCAAAAATGTCAGGTCTTCTTCAGTTCAACTGTCACGAAATGAATAGAAAAATTACCTTTTTTGGGGGAGGGGAGGGGGGAGGCTGAGAATGAGGAACAGAGATTTTTATATTTGTTTTGTTTTGGTGGGGTTTTTTGGGTTTTGGTTTGTTTTTTTTTTTAAGCCTTTCTTAGTTTGCCAGGCACTGGGTTATCGGCCTGATGAGTGCACTGTGAATGCCTGAAAAAAGTGTAGGTACAATCAGTTCTCTGGGCATGAAAACCAAACTGTAGTTGGAATCTGTTCTCCTTTTTTTTTGTTTTGGTAACATAGTTTCTTATGAAAACTAAACAGCCTTATGGGATTCTGCTACGTATTTATCAGTGCCTCTCCCATCACCCAGGAACCTTTAAATCCACTGGCAAGTCATAGACAGATTTGTTATGAGGGGTAGATCTCACAAGGTAATCACAAATTTTGTTGAAAACGGGCAGAAGAGTGCCCTCGCTGTGGGGACATGGTATAGCGGGAACTTGTAACTTCTTAGTTACTAAAGGGTGCCCGGAGATGGGATGAAGCAAGCTACAGCTGGAGCTTGTACCTCCCGAGAGACCGGAATGAATCAACTGCAAAGCGCGCATTTGCATAAACCCAAATTTCCCTCTGGTTCGATGCTCCTAGCGCTCCTTGCCTCACAGTGCCGTTTCTGCAGTTGTGCGCAGACACGGTGTGAGCTGGAGTCACGCACGCACGAGGTTCCAGGCTGTGCCGCTACTGTCTAATCACCTTGACAGAACGAGAGAAGATTTAAATATTTGGCTTTGAATAAAAATAGTTGCTGTCTAGCAGAAAGAGGCTGGTTGTGCCTCCTCTCATGTGCTTACGGTAAGAAAGCAGTTTGCGCCAAGCTGGTTTTTTTTGTGCACTTCTGCGGTATACCGAAGTGTAGGGCACAGAATGTATTTCACAATTTGTAGCCCTCAGCCTCCTTCTCCCGCCTCCCAACCAGTTTCCAGTCACAGCCCTTAGAGATGGCTGCTCTGAAAATGCACAGGAAGCTGGAGCAAGGCTTGCTGGCGACAGCGTCGAGCAGAAGAGTGTAAACAACTTGGAAAGATCGGATTTTACTTATAGGATCAGACTCGGAAAACAAAGCAGAGCAAATGTTATCTTTTCCATTATTGTAAAAACCAACTCCAAGTGGCCTTTTGTCTTAAAGTAGAATGTACCCATCACCTCAAGTTAAATTAGTTTGATTTACCAGCTGAGGTATTTCCTGTTGCCTGCAAATGCTGATAGCGAAGGTAGAGATCTGTTTGTCATACAGTATTTCCAGTATACTCTGGAAATAAAAACAGTATTTTTGTTTGACAGTACATTAGTTAGATTCAGCAGCATCGAAAGCGTGTTTAAAATAAATCACGCATTCGTTCAGAGGTTGGCTGAAGTTCTGATAACGTGGAATGCAAGATCTGAAAATCTTTAAGTGAAGGCTTGCTTTGGGGGAGGAGGTCGGGGTTTGTTTTGTTTTTAACCTGCCCTGTGCTAGATGCTGCTAAATTACACATTCCTTACTTGCTGGGAGGAGTGTAAACTTCCCCTAGCAAATTCCTTGGAGGGCTCATGCATTAAACATACTTGTGGAGTTATCCTGGTTCTCATAAATATGCAACATACATGTATGCATTAATTTAACTCGCTTTGATGCTTGTGTAGAATATACAGACAACAAGCGTTCGCAAATTTAAACGTGGGAGGGGTGGCTGATGCGGGGGGAGGGCACGGCAGGGGCATGTGTTCCTCCTGTAACGTGCAGGCTTTTCTGTAAAGATCAGTAAGGTTTGGGGGCTTTTTCTTCCCTGTAAACTGAAAAAAAAATAGGTGGACGGGAAATGTATGGGATTATGTATTCTGAAGAAACTTTGCAAAACTAAATCAGTAATTTAGCACTGTCATGTTAAGGCTGAAATCTGGTAAATACAAGGTCGTATTCAGAAATGCTGTAATCGTATCTGTGATCTTCAAGGAATTTGTTTGTATTTTACTTTGTTAATCCCTGTTGGGTTGATATCTCAATTTGTTGAGACTGTGAAGACATTTTCTTCAAGTAAGAACCCCAAAAGTTCCAATCTTTCTCAAGTATTTCTTAGAAATGTCTTTTATCACAATTCATATTGGCCGTGCTTTATCATAGGAAATAGAATACGGGTGCATGTAATAGCCACAAGTGTTTATATTGAACTTGGCATGAAAAATGCAAGCCCTTTTTTGTTTGTTTTATTTGATCAAATATTCCTGGGGAAGTGAGTGCATGCGTGCATTTCTGTACTGATCTGGGTCTCAGCTGAAAGCCAGGAACTACTGAACTCTTCCAGTAGCCTTCTCTTCAACTTTGGGTGTCTTCACTGCTTCAGTTTCCGAGTTTTTAGAAAGGAGGTAGTTGCTTTCTCATGGAGCTGCTTGTTCTGTTATGAGAAACAATTGTTGTTTGCGGAGGCATTTGGAAATTCTAGAGATTTGCACCAGAAAAATCTGTATCGAAAAACGTAAAAATTATTTTAAGATGAAAGTCACTCCTTGGGTAGATTATCAAGTCGTAAATTAATGGAGGATTCTTTTATTATACCTGTCAGTTGAATTTCCCTGAGCTGCTTCAGGCACGCAGCCACAGTTGAAATAGCTAAAGGGGGAGCAGGGGCATATAAGATTAATCTCGTGTGAATACTTAGGATTGAATACATGTGAATACATGGAATCAGAGTTCCTGGCAATGGATTCACTATTGTTTTCGTTGACATCCTCATCCTCAATAGCTTTAAGATGTTATGCCTGATACAGATGTTTAACATGTGTTATGTGAAATGAAGGCAGGAAAATCAAGGACTCATCTTTATTTTTATAATTTTGAGTAGCGCCACTGAGGCTGTAATAATTCGACAGACTTTTTCCCCACTGTTTAATCAGTGTTACTTGGCAACAATTTCATAATAAAAAAATGTTTTCCTTTGAGAGCAAACCTGATATTAAAATGCCTGTTAGTTCCTGTGGAGCAGGCTAATTTTAACAGCCAGATACTTAGTAGTGATGTATCTCAGGTTCCTGAGCTGACCCCCCTTAAAAGTCATAAAATGATGGGCAAAATTATTTAAGTCCAATATTGAAGTACTTTCTGAAGAGATCCTGTAAGTTGTAAAAATGGGACAGGAAAAGACTCTGAAACAGTCACCTGATAATGTATTTCTACATCCCTGTCTTTGCAGTGCATCCTGAATTCAGGATAATTCTTGTGCATCACAATGGTTTTGTATTTTAGGACTATGAAGATCTGGACAATGAGGGTGATGAAAACCTGGTTCATTTTGCCTATTTTTCTACATACTTACTGTATTTCCCAGTGTGTTCATTTTAACAGCCTTACCCAAGGCTAGGTCAGGGAAAAATGTTTTGTTTTATGCTCAGGCATTCAGAGATCTGGGGACAGCCTTGAGATTCAGCTGTGATAAAGGGGCCACTTTCTGGGTGCGGTTTAAACGTGCTGATCTGCTGCACCGGAGCCATGGTCAGAGGGGGCCTGGAGGTCTTGTGCCGACAGCAGGCAAGAAGGGAATTCAAGGTTTGTTATTTGACAGCTGGAGTTAGTGAGGTTTTTGTTACCTGGTCGTTTGTTTGATTCCATTTTGTTTGTGTCTTCCTCTAAAAGTGCATTTGTTAAAATAAGTTTCCATTTAGTGCCAGTCAAATGTCCACTTAGGTTGTTTTCTGAGACTTCAGGATCTCAGATATAGTGAAAATAAGGTCAGCTCCTTTTTCCACTCTGGTTTTTAGGGCTGAGCTCTCAGTGTCAGCTTGACCAGCTGCTCTAAAACTGACAAGACAGGCTAGTTTGAATTTTGAAGCACCCTGCAGCATGGGCTTAATAATCCAAAT